TGCAAAAAGCTAACTCTGGGCTCAGAGTAACATTGTTGAAAGATACAAGTCAGTAACAGTGCTAGAATTGTGTCCTTCTGTGCTAAAATCAACTAACATGATTTCACTGTGGTACTGAAAAACCCATATTTTTATCATGGCTAATGGGCAATCTTTTGATATTATGAGGGAGAATGCAGTTACTCTAACAATAACCTGATGATACTGATAAATACAATCATCCTCATGACAATGTAAGCTCAGAAAATTTTAACAATTGTTAATTAAGTCAAATACTGTTGTCAATTAATCCCATCTGTGATTTTCACATATAATAGTTTTGTATATAATCTACATAATTTTAAGTGGATCTGGTACATATTATTTGAGGTTGGCACTTTGGGTCCAGCAACCCTATCTGGATGGATTTCCTCAGTCCAATGTAAAGCTGTTTCTTGAGAACTAAATGTTCAAACTCATTTGTGCTTCTGAGTAGAAATGCTCTAGAATAGTTAAGCACCTTTCCCAAAAAAAATGATCTTAAAGTCCCATTGGCCATTAGTTTACATGCTACCGGTAGTTACATTGAATATCATAAATAAATGGACAACAAATGGATATTCAACTAACCTACTGATGAAAGTCACCTCTATCATCTTCATGTCTTTTAGCAGTTTTAATCTGTAAGGCTGTTTGGAATTCAACCAGAACTTGCCAGCATCTCTGAAAATAAGAGGTTGACTGTGGAAAAACTCAGCTTTGCTGTTCTTGTGAGCACAAGAGAGAAGACAGTGAAAGAAAGGCTCAGGTAGGAATTTCTTGAAAAACACAAATAACTTTTTATCTAAAGGTCTGTCACTCCACAACGGAGTGTTTGCATTGGTAGAAATTGGCAACAGTGCTGGAACAAAGAAAATTGGAGCCAGAGGTTCCTCATTTACAGGAGCCTTTTGGTATGTCAAAGGGCAGATCAAGTCATATTCTTCGAGGAATGCAGTCACATCTTCCTTATTTTCCTGCACCACTTTTGAGAGGATACTCTCTAGTAGGGGTTTGGTCAGCATTCCTTTGTCACGCAATAGGTTCCAGTGACGTCTGTAACCTCTTTGAGGAAACCCTTCAGGTTGTTGAGTGACAAGTCTGATGATAATATCAATTAGTATATCAGGATTAAGCAGAACCCTCTTTGGCTCTTTGTCGAGGTACATAATAAAACCCTTCTCGTGAAAGTATTTCAGTGTCTCTTCAGTCCAGTTGGTGCAAATGAAATTGTCAAATACAGTAGGAAACTCTTCTAACATCACACAGACTTTTGCTCCCTTGTCACCCTTCATACTGATGAGGGCATCCTGGATCTGGATCCAAGAGAGAGGAATGTTCCGACCAATAGTTGTCTTAAGTTCCTCTGCAGTAGCCATGATTGCTCTCTGAAAAGTTTGAATCCCAACATCGTTTTGACCCAAGGAGTTTTCAACAGGAAAAAAAATAAACCCATACTCTTTGTTTAAAACCAGCTCATCACAAAAAAGATCCCAAAAGTTTTCCTTTAGATGGTCATTGATTCTTTCCATAGTGGATTGCTCCATGTTCCCCCTATGTGTTCCCACAAGAAGAA